GTCTACAAGAAAGATGAGATGCCTGAGAGTTTTCATCTCGGGAAAAGTCAACGGTTGCCACCAATTGTGGTCATTGCAGATCTGGGATTCAACCTAAACTCGGTGAGCTTTAGCGAAAAAATAATTTCTTTTGAGAACATGTACTTAAACTGTAACTTTGAACACAAAGAACATATTGAACGATAAGAGGACCAAGTTTCTGACCCCGCCTCCTGACTAGACATCGCATAGTTATGACCCCCAGGCTCCTCCCCTTTTCCATGATTAAAGATCAGGTGTATATGATTAAACTGATCTAGGATCAGATGAACCTGATCAACTCAGGTTCAGTTGATCCTAGATGTACAGGAAATAATCAGTGAAGAAGAAAAGCATCAGCCAAAAGTATGACTGGAAACCTGATGACATCACACTTAGACAACTGTCAGTCAAAATCAGGTTTATTTAAATTGTGCTTCTTTATTGCGACTTCACACAGTTCCAGGTACTTACACTGCTTTTCTTTCATTCAACCAGAGATTCATCGTCTACGTCAACAAAGGAGATCACGGCTTCCACAACGGTGAGATGGACATGAAGACCATCTTCAGGGCATTTGGACCCGACTTTAAGAAGAACCTCCTGACTGAAGCGTTCGACAGCATCCACATTTACCCTCTAATGTGTCGACTGCTGCAGATCCAGCCTGCTCCACACAACGGTTCCCTGGCTGTGACCCAGGAGATGCTGATCAACAACAGTAAGGAGGAGGATCCGACTGATCCTAACAGAACCAGGAACACATAGAACCATTTAGAAGAACCGGAACGGGTCAGTCCAGTGAAGCTCAGACAAATCACTTTGACTGTGCGAAAAACTGTTCCAAGAAGTTCTCAATGTATATGGTCTCTGTTTCCAGGTCTGTGTAGAACCAAACGGTCCCATCAGTACCTGGGCCTCTTGGTGGCAGCACCACTCAAAGTCTTCTTTAGAATCATGGTTAATGTGGTGGAAAGTCACACCGATTCGGCTCCTAGATTATTAAACTAAAGTTCCTGGTTCTGTCCCTAGTTTTGGTACCAGTTCCTCCAAACTATCCCATGATTCTTGTACTGGTTTGGTTGGACTATGACACCTAGTGATCTCCGTGTTTGTGTTTTTCAGGTGGATCCAGGTCCTCGGTCGGGGTTTCTGGTTTTCTGCTTCTCCTGCTCGTCTTCACCATGGTTTATTGATCCTGATCCTTATTGATCCTCCAACACGTTTAGCTGATCGTGGATCTGATCCAACTGATCCTGGATCGCACACAATCGATCCTGGATTTGCTCCAACTGTTCTTGGAGTAGATCAAAGACATTCACCATCCGATCTAACCGGTTTTGGATCAGGTCTAACCGCTTGTGAAGAGGATCCAACTGATCTTGGGTTTGGTCTAACCAATCCTGTGGCAGATCTAATTGCTCAGCGTGATTCTGGATCTGATCCAACTGATTCTGGATGAGAAACAACTCGTACTGGATCAGATCCAACTGATCCACCTGATTTTGGATCAGATTTAGATCAGCCACCATCAGATTTGACTAATCCTGAAGATCAAGTGGAATTTAAAAAAATACAGCATCAGCAGCAGTTTTTGTTTGAGTTACTTTTTCTTTGCCATCGTCCAAATTGACCTATAAAAACATCACTGATCACTTTAGCGCATCATCATTACTTATGATCAAAGGATTCGCTCCAAAACCAGGATCAAAGTCCCGAAGACAAAAATCGGTGACCATCGTTTGAGCCAGTTCCTTGACCAGACCTGCCCGGTCCTGGACCTTGGAGGTCTGACCAACTGGATTCACATCAGATTTTGACCAGACACAGTTTGTTTTGACCAGACCTGCCCGGTTCTGGACCTCGGAGGGCTGACCAACTGGATTCACATCAGATTTTAACTTATTCAAGATTTTTTTAAAGTAGATCAAACTGGATCAAATTCTTCCAACCCAACAATGCATTTAAATCAATCCCAGAAATCAGATCCAATCGTTCACCTGACCTTAGATAGACCTGACTGATCCAGGATCAGATCTGATGGATTACTGGTCCGCTGTGACATTACCAGTGTACCTGACCTGTGTGTGGCTGATATTTTTATGCTAATTTATTCTGTAAACATTTGTGAATTAAAACTTTTGAAGTGATGAAGTTTTTTTTTTTTTTTAATGATTTTACCCAACATTCCACTGTCAGCTAAAAAACTGATGGATCGATACAACGTTCAGATCTGTCGGTGGTCACCAACGGAGATTTATTTAAACAGTAATCATGAAAAAGTCAGTGTTTGATTGGTCGCTGCAGCAACAAGGTCAAGCACTGTCACAAACAGACACATACACTCTGTCTCACACACTCACACACACACACACACCAGCATCATCAGGTAAAAACAGATCATTTAAAATCACAATTTAAAGTTTTGGACGTCTCTGAATCACAGTAAGAGACGGTTGGACACAGACAGCAGCCATCTTTGATGGACAGCGTTTCATCATAAAACGATGATAAAGGTTGGCCTTCAGGGGCTAAAATACAGAGGTAACAGAAGTAAGAGGGCGTGACAAGGTGAAGCCTCATTGGTCCTTCTGGAGGCCGTTCACCTCCGTCCAAAGAAGAATAAGTCACAACAGCACCACCGTGTGGTGGATCATAGCAGCGTCTCCGTGTTCTCGACTTTGTCTGCGTTCTCGTTCTCCACTTCTATCTGGATGCTGGGCACCTTCTCTGTGCTGCAGAATAAACAAAGACCATTGGATCTGATCAAAATCCTCAACCACACGAATCTTTCCACCTTAATGAAGAACCTGACCACACGAATCTTTCCACCTTAATGAAAAAGATGTGAGTGTAATATGTGAAACTAAACCTTAAAGACAAAATTACAGTGACTTTAGCTAACATGGGTACAGGGGCTGCTGGTCCATTTACTGCCTCCTGTGGTCAGTTCGTGTCACTGAGTCAATAAGAAAATTACAATAAGTGTCTGTGGCAGCAGTGGATCAACAGCTGCTGTTGTGAATGACTGTAAACGACTCTCGTTGAGCAGCAGGGGGCGCTCACAGCTCTGACTTACCTATGGCAGTGTCGGAGAGATTTGCTGCTTTCAGAGTTCTTGAAGATGGATTTCCAGATTCCACTCTTTGCCATTTCATCTGAAATGTTGACCTCCGACGGGTCTGAGCTGCACGCACACACACACGCACACACACACACACACAAGCATTAATCGGTGACTAACTGTTCAGATCCATGTGCTTTGAGATCGACTCACCGTCCTTTCAGTTCTTTCATGGCGTTCCCACTGTCATACAACGGATCATTGTCTTCTTCCACCAGCCGCTGAGCATTCTGGGAAAAAACAGCAGATACACAGATGGAGATGAAGGCACTAAAGTCACTGTAACATCTTTTATTGTCCTTATTTACAGTCAACAGTTTAACTTTAAGCTCCTTTTGAACTAACTGTGAGGGACACGTTTAACTTCTGTTGTTTTTACTGACTAAGTTGTTGTAAGAGCCACCTGGTGGCTGATGGTTGACATGTCACCCAGCATAAAATTAAAACTAAATTGAACTTTCAAAGCAGCATGATGACATTTCCTCAGCACAGTATCCAGACAGTCACTGAAGTGGAGATTAGTTTGCTCCTCCTTCTCACCTCCTTCTGCTGCTTCTTCTTGTCGTCCTCCTTCTTCTTCTTGCTCTCAGGGATCAGGTCGTCCAGCCAGCTCAGCTCTCTCTTGGTGAAGCAGAAATCCAGCAGCTTCCTGATGAAGACCAGAGCCAGGACCATCATGGGGAAGACCACGGCTGCAGCCGAGGCCTTGATGGTCCACAGGACGATGAGGCAGGAGAGCTGCACCACGGTGAAGATGTGCACCTTCCAAAGAGGGACGTATCGTAGGTAAATCAGATCCGGCTGGTGTTTGGCCGGCATTCCGAACAGTTTGATCCGGTCAAAAAGCTGCAGACGGAAAAGAAAACACAAGATAAAATCCTCTGACAAATGTTGGAATCATTTGAATATGATGGACGTGATTCTTTATTGTAACCATCACAATTATAAAGGTGCAGTCTGCAGTTTTGTTCACTTGTAGCATGTAGCTCATCTGGCCTGTAGGTGGTGCTAAGTACATATTTAAAGCCCTGTTCCATGACTCATAGACTGGTGCAGAAATGTTGAAATTATTGAGCCCTGTTCCATGACTCATGACTGGTGCAGAAATGTTGAAATTATTGCAGGTTTGTATAAAAATCTACTGCAGATTTAAATGACTACAGTTTCAGCCTTTAATTTCCTCACACATCCAGACGACCTGAGACATGAGGACGGTCTGAGGTTTGAAAGACCGGGACATTTGTTCTGGAGCTTTTTGTCTGATGTTTTGTCTGAGTTGCAGAGAACACACAAAAATAAAAGACAAAACCAAATGTGACCTGAATGCCTTTGAGTGAGGACACGCCCATGTAGAGGAAAACTCCGTACAGCACCGGCATGGGGATGAACTGAGAACAAAAACAAACAGTCAAAAACTCATCTGCTTCACATGGGTTAAAAATACAGACATACAACAGACATTTAACCTAAAAATGACAAAAAACGCAAAACATCTGTGTCAAATTATCTGCTGCATCTCACTGTAAGACCAGAGAAAGTCACTGATTTTTTTTCTCACAGACCAAAATCTAATAGTTATTTTAGGTAAACTATAAAATATAATATACAATATTGTCAAAAAAAAGTACAACTTCCAATGTTTTCCCAAATGTTACCTGGTAAAATAAGAATTTAAATAAACATATAATAAATAGAAAGATGTTAGCAGAGCTGAGGTTGTCTTTTACTGGACATCGGTCTGGTTCCTTCTCATACAGGAGCTGGAGATGAAGCTCGTCGTTAGCCAAAACGATACTTACATCATTTAGAAAACCGCTGCTAAAAAAAAAAGAAAAGAAAAAAAGAAAACGCCAGAGAGTCTACCTGGAAACATTATCCTCCTCTGACATTCACCTTGAGAACCGAGGTCATGAAGACGGAGCAGCCCATCAGGGTGAAGATCAGGAATCCCGTCACTCTTTGCTCACGAATTCCCAAGAACTTCGGCTGCTCTCCAGGAGCGGCGCATTCCGACTCCAGCTTCAGACTGTTGACATGAGAGATGGAGAGGACGGTGGCCGCGACAAACCACGGCAGGCCCATGATGGAGCAGACCCCAAGCATCAGCGCCACCACCAGGAGGTCCAGGTGATAACCACACCCTTTCTGTAGAACCAAAAACAAAACGTTCAGGGAACCTGGCAACATTCCAGCTGTCAAACAAAGGAGCAACCTTCTCACCTTCAGCTTGTTCTCCTTCCTGTTGACAATGACGGCCGTGATCTGCTGGTCCATGAAGATCAGAATAGTGCAGAGCAAAGCCGGGATGGAAGCCGCCAACACTGTCCACCAGGGGTTAGAGCCCAGTGGTGATATGAACCAGCCCCGGGTGCTGGACGTGGGCTGTGAAAGAAATAATACATATCAAATATAAATTATAACAAAAAGACTTTGTGTCAAACAGAACAGACCAAAGTTCTTTACCTGGAAGCGGTCTGGAACACGGAGTTTGGGTGAAGGAACTCCCACCAGATAATCCAGGAGGACCATGATCATGATGGTCAGGAAGATGGCAAAGTCACTGATGGTGGATCTGACCTTGAATGAAAACACAAAACACATTTGTGTGTGTGTGTGTGCGTGCACACAGACGTGCACGTGTGAGTGAGACCAACAGGCCCTCACCTTAGTGGGGAAGTAGCTCCTGGTCTTGAACTGTTTGAGAAACGAGGACAGAAAAAAAGTGGTGAAGAAGAGGATGACGGACCAGAAGAGGACGTCAGGGACGTATGGACCGAGGTGTCCACAGGCCGAGCCCACAAAGACACCGCGGAGCTGTACACACTCCTGAAAACAAGACAAAATCAGGCGATTCAGTAGCAGTTCCACACGATGACCCCTAAATGCTGCCCCCTGCTGGACAGTCTTGGCCTCGTTGGGTTGAAAGCAGTATCGTGTGGTTAGATGGAGAAAAAGTTCTAAAGATTAAAGATGTGCGTTTGTCTGACCTCTGCATTAAGCTCCTCCCACTGGATGATCTCGGACGTTCCGTTTCTCCACATTGGCTGGAGTTCGGCTGAATCGTTGCCAGGGGGAGAACAGTGACACCTTGGGAAGAAAAAAAAACCAAACAATTATTTCATGTCTCGTTGAAAATGATTTTTTTCACGTTAACTTACATAAACGACACACTCTCTCAGCACGAGGTTCATACATACATTTGTTGATTTTAGCTCACAGACCAAAGTCCAAAGAGAAAAAAAATCTTTAGATCACAATCACAGCGGATGTTTACCCACTGCTGCCTCCGTCACTAAGTTCAAACTGTGAGACTCCTCTGTTTAGAATCATCTCTTCAGTTTTGTCTTTGTGACACAAACTGACCACAGGAGGCAGCAGCGGACCAATAGTAATGAAAAGATCATAACGGATGGTAAAGATCTAAAGACCGGAGCAGAAAGTTCTGCCTCCTCACCTGTAGAACGTCAAGTTGTCCAGGTGGTTGTTCATGTTGAAAGGGTAGAGCTCCCCCAGGTGGACAAGCTTCTCCAGTGCCTCGTAGATAAAGATGATGCAGATGAGCGCGGCAAAGGCCTCCTCGGTAAAACGAGTGATGTAGCAGACCAGAGTGCTGGCATCAGTGGCCACCAGCACCAGGCAGAGAAAGGCAGTCCACAGACCGATGCTGGTCCTCAGCGGTAGGTAGGCCAGACCGTAGTCACTGTGGAGCAGAGGGCAGGGGTTTGAATCCTGTAGAGACACTGATCATCCACTAAACACCCTGTTGTTCAAAAGACACACGTTAGCATTAGCAGCTAACCACTATTAGCATGGCATCTATTGACCACTGACTGTGTTCAACAACATTCTTTTGCTTTAGTTCTTACACGACCCCGGATCACTTTACCTTGTGACAGACTTTTTTTCCTTTTCATTTTTCTCTCTTCTTTTGTCAAATCATCTAGGATTTAGTTAAAATATTAGCGTTTCTTTCCAGAAACTTTCCAACATGATAACCTACATTTTAGTCTGGAAGTGTTTGGATACAGTTGAGCTACTGTATTTTCCAGCTAAATTCTACTGGAAAGGTTTGGGTAATAAAATTTGATTGGTCACAGGTGGCGCTACTGCTCGGAGCATTGACACCAAGGCCACAGATGGAAACTCCTTGTCAGTCATTGACCACAGACGTTGTCTGAGTAAAGAACCTCTGATCCTCAGCATTGTCAACAGTGAAGACACGTTGTTTGCAGATCTTTGCTGACTGAGATTAAGGACTGACCAGAGTCTCAGACTGCCTGATGACCCTGAGGTCAACGACCGCGCTGAGGTTCTATAAGAGGACCACGAGACCCTCTCACTCCTGTCCGTCTCCTGCCAAACCACCATCATGAGTTCAAGGCTCTGCTCACTGCTGCTCCTGGTCCAGGTGCTGGTCTGGTCCAACTCTGCTCTGCCTGTGGACACGCAAAGTGAGCTGGATAAGATTAGAGCCACTCTGGAGGAGATGAAGGCCCAGAAAACAGGTACCAGTTTAGGCTGGAGCTAGAAACTATTCCTGACACTGGACACAGTTCCTGGTTTTAATTCTGGAAACTCCTGCACCTGGATTGTTTTAAATTGTTTCTTATTCTGTTTTTGTTTTTCTTGCAGACATGAGTGCACGTCTGGATGTGGCCGAGCAAGAAGTGAAGAGGATCAAAGGTCAGTGTGATATCACGGACATTCAGTCAGTGTTATGTTGAAGTCATTGTGGGGTGACCTGGAGCTGCCTCCTTCACAAATCTTCTCTTGAAAGTTTCTACCTCATTTCTCAGCTCACTCCCAGTTGTCACCAACACTAATTGTTAGTCTTCTGTCACTCCTGTTATGCTGTCGTTTTGTTTGTTGTGTCTGGTTCACGTCTTCGACTTCATCCTCTCGTCTCACACATAAGGAAAAAAAAATGTTTTTGTTTTTTTTAGAAACTCCCAAAATTGCATTTGCTGCGTCTCTGGGAAACAACGGCCTCCTGAAGACGACTTTAGGATCAGTAGACCTCATCTACAAGGATGTCATAACCAATGTGGGCGGGGCTTACAACTCTAGCACAGGTACGACGTCGCATCCAAAAAAAAACATCATACATAAATGAAAGGCATAGAACCGTTAAAGAACTCTTCAAGAACTGTCCTTTCTTCCAGGCGTCTTTACGGCACCGATCCGAGGCGTCTACTACATCCGTTTTACCGCCAACGCTCCGAGTGACTTCCCAATGAGCGCCGTCCTCTACAAGAACGACGCTTCCATCCAGCTCATTGCTCACGAGCAGACGTCCGGCCAGGGCAGCGACACAGCGTCCAACGGCGCTGCTCTGCTACTCGAGCGAGGGGACAGACTGAGGTGGAAGCTGTGGCACGAGACCCAGATCTGGGACAACAGCAACCACCACAGCACCATCAGTGGGTTCCTGCTCTTCTCCATGTAAGACCAGTCGCCACTGACGTCAACGCTGACATCATGATCCGTGACATCATCACTGACGTCACCATGATGTCTGTGTGACCCTTTCTTTCTGTCCCCACAGGGAGGAGGAGAAACGTCAGCCAGAGTTGGACTCTGAAGCTGAGCTGAAGAACCTTCAGGCTTCAGTGAAGCAGCTTC